CTTTGCACTATATTCTACAGGCTTATATTTACGACATAGAAGAGACTCAGGCTGCCTTGGAAATCACGGTATTGAACAGCAAATCAGTTTCAGTCCGTTTCGGTCCTCGGTTTAGCACTCTAGACGGTAACACGTAGTTTAGATATGTCAGTACATTGCAAGCGTTAGCATCATCAGTTGGTGCCTGTTCTCTCCCTCTAAGTGAGGATATATTCCAATTTCCGACTGTCTGTGTAGTTTCTGTGAATTATCTGATGTACCGTAATCGGCGCTATGCCATTTAACCGGCCAACGACTCCGCTCCTTAATGATACCTTCGTACAGATCTTCGGCAGATGTCACTGCATTGCGTTGCCCTCAGCTGCCGGCAGGAGTCAAACAGGTTTTGATCACGGACATTTCGCACTCTGCCTTTCTGCCAGTGACTTCTTTCGTTGCCATACAGCGTCATCAGCGATATGGCTCAGTTGAACAATATTCTTATCGTCACGGCAATGACAGACGTCATTCACCTTTCACACGATGACGTGAATGCAAGATTTTAGACACAGTGATTAGATCAGATTTCTTAGATCTTCACTGACAAATTTCCTTTTATCTTTACAATAGTTCTGTTTTGTGGTTTCGACTTTCCAAGTGATGCGACGTATTTTCTTTGCTGCGTTTCCAGACATTGCCCATAAGGCGTTACCCAGTTCTTCGATCAATTCCCCTGTATCTCGCCATTCTCCGTTTTAAGACACTGCACTAAACAGTTTTTTTGCCATTCTTCCAAGAACAGAATTTTACTTCCTATTGTAATCAACCAAAAATCATTTACTTAGTGATTGATTCTTTGTACTTCCTCCTTTGTAGCATACACGAACGATTTTAATTTATTACGTGGCGTGCTAAGCACAAAGCCGTTCTGGTTTTTACTTCTAATTAAAGTCGAAGATATGACTATTTTGAATAAATGTGCCTGCTACGTCAGTTTAGGCATGTTATCGCCATGTCGCCGTAAAGATCGCAAAGGGAGGAATTTGCGTCTGACAACGTCTACGGAAGCCAGCTGTAAACTGCTGTTTGCTGAGATGCACGCCAAGGAATTACGCTATGAAATCGGCGCAAAACTTTCTCAGGAAAACCAGACAGGGAGTTCTTTACGTTCTTCGTAAGCTTTCGATTCAGCGTGGTTTCGATCCATATAGAAATGTAGGAACATATAAATGAATAGTAGTAAAAACGTGTTATTCGCATTTGGAATACAGTAAACAGTTATTGCCCATTTCAGTAACTAATGCGAGATGTATTAAAAGTGCTAAATTTCGAAGGAGCCATATCCTGCCCGATACCCCTTCCCCACCCCCATCCGCGCAAAAAGTGGTGTAGTAAAGCCGTCCATCAACCAAGAGTACTTTACGCTTATTGACACGGCCAAGTCATAATCTCCAAATCTCCATTTACGTGATCTCTTATCAAACGACAGACGGCACGGTGCTTAGTTGAGTCCACTGTGTCATGTTGTATGATCACCATGTCGTGATCTTTCTCTCGGTTTCGATGCTGGAGTTAAAGCCTTTACGACCATTTTTTCGACGTAGTAACTTTCTTCTCATCATGACACCGATTTTCCTGCTTGTAGGCTTTTCATAAGCGATTGCATAGTCATGTTATTCTAAGACTAGTTTTGTCAATAGATTCGTATAAAACATTCCCTTTTCTGACCCTTCATCGGATTTACGTTCTGTTTTTCTGATGTCTACTGCCAGTCAGTCAGTTTCGATAACCGCTTATCCTTCTGAAACATATTGGCAGACTTGTGAGATGGTTTCCAACGTTCCAGATTCCGTGCCAGCGTCTGAGCTTTGATTGAACATAACGCGAGTCTTAAACAGAGTCCGGCAAGAAATTTGCCCCAGGTTATTCTTGGCCATCCTCAGAATATTCGGTCTGTCAGTTGAGCAGCTAGTAGCTGTTTAGCCTTCCTTTCTAAATGCATTCACAAACGTACCGAGATTATCTATGCTGTTACTTTTCAGTCCATAGAAGCAGGGGCTGCACACAAAGACACCCTCGGGTATTTGAATTCTGAATCATGTCGAGTTTCGCGAGCCCTGCTATTCGTCTCAGAACGTTCATTTCAGCTGCCCTTAACCGGATTGGTTTGCCATGCAGCTGTTGCTGCTACTGTGCAAGTCGTTTCGTGACAAATCTTCATTTTTTTAGTCACCATACTTTCACTTAGAGGAGACTTGGAATTTACTGCACTTCGAGTGATGTGATTTCTGGCAACCTTCTTCACCTTACTCTTGGGAAGATTAAAGTAGCGACCAAAGTGATAGCTCGAAATGCTTTCTTTATCATTATTTGTAAATCTGATCTACAGATGCTACGAAGAACAGGCGTGAGACTCACTTTACTCTGATCTTCAAACCTACGATAAGTTTTCCAATGCTGTTCGCATAAGGGCTTTTAGAAATTGGTTAAATAATGTGGAAGAAAAATTACATTCCTAACTTACTCCTTTCTTAACAGTAAACTATCCAGAGAGGAGGCCCGCTATTAACAATGTAGCTAGCTATCTGTAACAGTTCTCGCAGCAATCGAATGACTTCGGCAGAAATCCAGAACATTGTAGTTGCAATGATTTGCTAAAATTTTGTCTGTTTCCGTAGTAAATGCCAGTGTAATCAGGGCGAATCAGAAATTAAGCGGTTATTCAAACTTTTGACTGAATTATGCTTATTAAGATATCTCAGCAAAGCAACGCTTTTCACAATTCTTTATCTTGCGATGCACGAAACGTCTGGTTAGTATTTATTGTACATGAAATTAATAACTGTCATATTCAGAAATCCGATAAAGGCTTGAATTGCCATGGAAGTTGCCAAGACACATGTATCCGCTGTTGAGGGAAAAATCCGCACACTGTATGCTTCCGATGTTGCCGACCAATGGAAAATTTTGAAACACAGTCATCTTCGCACAGTTCAGCTGCAACCATGTGATCAATAAGCAGAACGTAGGAAAAATATGTATACTGACCAGTTTTAGTGAGTTGAACTTCACATATGAACCAAATGCCAATATTTCACCCTGAGGATTAAAACGTAAGACGTTGGCTTGCGTGGTCAAGTTCATGAGAACTTTCACTGGTTTCGGAGAACGCTCGGTCAACACCGTTTGATTGTTATAAACATTGACGACGCCGGAAGCAGATCTGAACAAAAAAGCATAACAATGCATCGCCCTTCTAGCGGGTGAACTGGGGACAAGTTTGAACCATAAGCAGAGGAATACGTCCTCAATGTATCCAAAAGGAATCTTGTTGTCTGTAGATGAGAGCAAAGCGGTTTACCATGCAGTTTCATCAGTGGATAAAGTATTGGTTTATTGCGATAACTTAGGTAGCGCACAATTCAATAAGACCTCTGGAGGTTTTGGACAGAACTGGCATCACTGGCGCATTTTGGAATCTAATCCTTGGAGCTTGAGGAAATTGCAAGAGAAAGTTTGAATTGTAAAAGCTTCTGCTGTTGCTGGTTCCAGAACCTGACAGAAACAGCTGACCGCAAAAAAAAGATAGATCACCTTCCAAAGAAAGCATCATGTTGGCTCATATGACATCATCATAAATACGTGATTTGAAGACAATGACGCGGATCACAAGAAAATACTGGTTGAAAATGGAATAGTGGAACCTCTACAAGTGAGATGATTATTATAATCACTGACCACCCATTTCGCGTTCCCTTCAAAACTGCTTGAGATAAACCCCTTAAATTGTTACTCGTTGCACTAACCTTTCTATGAGTCTTCATTCTATAACCTAACTGCATAAATAACCCTATTTCTTTTCCATATATGATCTGTTTATACCTGTGACGATTTAAATACCATTGTATGTACAATGCCTAAAAAATGAGTGCATCGAATAAGCACACTTAAATGCAGTAAAACTGTTTCTCTTGTGCAACGGAGTAAATGAAATAATGCAAAAAATTTTTTTCAAAACATTTCATCAACAAAAGATAAATA